GACGGCACATAACAAATCAAGCAATGAGATGGGGTTGGCTGCTGGTGACACGTCAATCCATCTGTGAACATGATGGAAACCTCCATCATCTCTCCCCAAGATATGGCCTGTTACTGCCTCCACTCTTCCCTCCTACACCCTGATTTCTCAGCCTTGGTCACCTCCCTAGAGCCCCACGGATGCCCTGCTTCCCTTGGCCTCTAGCCCTTTTCTGGCAGATGCAGGGAGTCTACCTGGGCCACGCTCTGTTCATTCAAGCTGCTGTCATCCGCCTGCAGGGAAACAAAGTCAGAGGGTGGAGTCAGGCCAGGGTGAGGGTGTCCCATCAGAGGGCCTTGGAGGTGAAGGGTGAGGTGGTGCAGTGGTGGGCGTGATCCAGTTGTACTCTTTCATCTTTCATTTGGAAGCTAGGACCCCCGTGGCCCTTTGATGGTGCATGGAGGTTAGCAGGTGAGGGGAACAAAGAGGAGAGGAAAGGTTTCATTCAGACCTGAGAAAGCCAACGTAGGCAGGGTGATTCCACACTCTTCACCTAATAACCTCAAGGCTAAGACAACCACCTGGTATATTTTTGAGGATTTATTTCCCAGTGTCTGTACTTCTCACTGGAGTCCCTGTGTGGTTCAAATCACTCAACTGCTAACTGGAAGGCTGGAGGTTCAAGTTCACACTGAGACACGTTGGAAGAAAGGCCTAATGACCTACTATTAAAGGAAAAAAAAAAAAAACAGACATTCAAAAGTTGTGTGAAAGATACAATGACAAGAAAAAAGAGTAACTGCTGAGGCTACTTATGAACAACCAAAAACCTCATGAGATTTGGTTCCTTGGTTTGGAGATTTAAGATCATGGCTTTATGGGACTCCCAGTTAACTGGCCTAATAATGTGTTTACTGCTTCTGCTCTACCTCCTAGTTTGGTGCATAGTGTGTGGGGTCTTAAAATGTTGCAAGTGGCCATCCAAGGCACAACCATTGGTCTCGATTCCCCTGAAGTCAACAGAGGAAGAAGGAGGGATGAGAAGAGAAGGAAGAAATGGAAGGTATGGCTAACTGCCTCCATGAACAACTGCCTCCTTTGCCATGAAACCAGAAGCACTGTATGGTGCCAGGCTACCATTACTAAACACTTTGACCAAAGATTCTATAGAAGAATCCTGATCAGAAGGGGGAAAATGTAAAACAGAACAGACCCTAGAATTTCTAGAGTTTTGGAATCTGGGTAAACCCCTGAAACTATTGCCCTGAAATAATCTTTAAATCTAAAGATAAAAAAATTTAAATCTAAAGATAAAAAAATTATCCCTTGAAGTCTTCCTAAAATCAAACAATACTTTAGCTTAATTAGTAAAAAACTGTCTGTCTTGAGTATTATGCTATCTTAAAGAACTATTTATAGAAAACCAAAAATTCATGGATACAATCAATCCTAGCGACTGGTACACCATCCGATCTGCAGCCTATACGACTATGAGACCAGAAGAACTAGATGGTGCCCGGTTACCAATGTCAACCACTTGAAAGGGGATCTATGTA